ACAAAACCAATGGTTTTTCAACATTTATGTTACATGAGCTCGCGCGAGCTACTTTTTCTTGTTCTAACATAATCAAATTTCAATAATCCCTTGCAAAAAATAAGGTAAAGTGGACATTCGCGCGCGCAAGACGAAATCCTTCCAGAACCTTAGGTTTCGTAACGATTTCAACATAAAAACATCAAAAACCAATGGTTTTTCAAAAAAAAATGTCCAAATTTCATCCCGCGCGCGCTGTCCGACTCCCACAAAACCAATGGTTTTTCAACATTTATGTTACATAAGCTCGCGCGAGCTACTTTTTCTTGTTCTTACATAATCAAATTTCAACATCCCTTGCAAAAAAAAAGTAAAGTGGACATTCGCGCGCGCAAGACCAACAAAAAACACGACGATCTCAGGAACTTGCCCCAAAAATGTGACCAACTCCGCTCTCTCTGTCTCTCTCTCTGTCTGCTCTCTGTCTCTCTCTGTCTGTCTGTCTGTGTCATGTATTGTATGTCACAATTGCAGGATGCTGGGCACACGCGCGCCCCGAATAAGTGACCAAGTTCTGTGGGTGTGTACCCCACGCCAGTGTAGTAGCCACGGTCGTCCGCACGCCACGAAGTGAAGTGTCCCAACGTCATAGGGCGGGAAGCTGGGTTTGGGTGGTCGCGAAGAGTCGTTTGGATATTTGGTAGAGCTTGAACTGCCCCCCCACGAAGTGGGGGTATTGTCTCGCGTCGCATGAAAACCCTGGCACTGGTGAGAACACTGAGCGTTCGGGTAAAATGATTGTTGTTGTTGTTGTTGTTGTTGTTGTTGTTGTTGTTGTTGTTTTTGTTTTTGTTGTTGTTGTTGTTGCTCTTGTTGCTGTTGTGGCTGTGTCTGTGGTTGTCGTTGACATCTCATTTCTGAAGAATAGTTATTGTTGATCCCTCCCGCCTGGTGCATATTGTATTTTTCGATTGAAGTGCCCCTCCCGGGGCTCGCACCTTGTTTTTTTATCAGGGAGAGGCTTGAGGGTCAAGCTGTGTCGTTGGCCCCTGTTTTACAACAACACTGGCTCCCGCCTGATACTTTTCACAATTTATTAAAGAATCGCGCTCTCGCTTGGGACATCCTGGCAATTTACCACCGAACCGCTTCGCTTGATACTTCCTTGCAATTTATTCGAAAGAGCGTGTTCTACCGCTGCTGGCGGAAAACCGGGGGGGGTCACTGGGGTTCCCAACCCGTCCCCCCCCCGGTCGAAAACCAGGGGGGGCCACTACCGGTTCGAACACACCCCCGGTCCATCATGAAAAGGGGGGGTCACTACCGGTTCGACCCCCCCCGCCGTCGGCAAACGAGTCTCGCTCCTCGGGACGGGGACAGTGGTGAGGACAGTGGGACAGTGGTGGGAACAGTGGGACAGTGGTGGGGACGGTGGTAGTGGGGACAGTGGTGAGGGGACAGCGGGACAGTGGTGGGGACAGTGGGAACAGTGGGACAGTGTTGGAGACAGTAGTGGTGGTGACACTGGTGAAGGCGGTGGTGAGGACGGTGGTCGAACAGGTACAGTGGGGAGAGTCGTGGGGACAGCGGAGACAGTGGGACAGTGGCGGGGACAGTGGGGACAGTGGGACACAGGGGGACAGCGGCGGGGACACTGGGGACAGTGGGACAGTGGTGGGAACAGTGGGACAGTGGTGGGGACAGTGGGGACAATGGGGAGAGTGGGACCGTGGTGGGACAATGGTGGGGACAGTGGGGACAGTGAGATACTGGGGGGGCACTGGTGGGGACATCGGGGACAATGGTGGGAACAGTGGGGACACTGCGACAGTGGTGGGGACAGTAGGACAATGGTGGGGACAGTGGTCGTGGGGACAGTGGTGTGGGGACTGGGACAGTAGTGGGGACAGTGGGGACAGTGGGACAGTGGGACAGTGGTGGGGACAGTGGTGGTGGTGGGTACTGGTGAGGGCGGTGGTGAGGACGGTGGTGGGGACAGGGGTACAGTGGGGACAGTGGTGGGGACAGTGGTGGGAACAGCGGGACAGCTCAGTGGGACAGCGGCGGGGACAGTGGGACAGTTGGGACACTGGGGACAGTGGGACAGGGGTGGGGACTGGGGAAACTGGGGAGAGTGGGACAGTGGTGGGAACAGTGGTGGGGACAGTGGGGACAGATGCGACACTGGTGGGGGCACTGGTGGGGAAAGTGTGGACGGTGGTGGGAGAAGTGGGGGCAGTGGTGGTGTGGACGGTAGTGCGGGGGACAGCGGTGGGGGATGTGGTGCGGACCTGTGGTGGGGATTCGGGAGTCGTTTGCTGGCGGTGAAGGGGGGGGGGTTCGCACTGGTAGTGACCACCCCCCGTTTTTTGGAGGGGGGGTGGGTTCGAACTGGTAGTGACCCCCCTGGCCGGTTTTCCGGAGGCGGGGGGGGGTTCGAACCGGTAGTGACCCCCCCCGGTTATCCGCTGTCCCATTGTACTGAGGAGCGGGAGTCGTTTGCCGGCGGCGAGGGGGTGGGTGGGTTCGAACCGGTAGTGACCCCCCCCCAGTTTTTTGGAGGAAGGGGGGGTTCGAACCGGT